ACCTGCTTTAGACGGTTTTAACAGACGTCTCTGCGGGGCTGGCACTGTTTCGATGTGACATGCTTATTCAGGGACTTGCTTAGAAGGAACTGCAAAGGGACACCACCTATCCTGGGACCCTTTTGGCCTTGTTTTAAGCAAAACCAAGTTGGACCATTTGGGGCTATCCTATTTGGAGACGAACCCGTTTAGCAGCCTGTCTCCTAATTGAGCCAAGGTCAAAACAAGTAATGACTTCAAAGGACACGGAGAAGCTTCGTGAGTCTCTTGGTTCCCCACGTCCCTCCCAGTGGAACCGCAGACTGGACCCTTTGACCAAAACTCAGACTTCATTCTGTTTTCAAAATAGAATTTGGACCCCAACCGTGGGGCCTTTGCCCTTGAAACCAACCCCAAAGAACACCAAAGAGCCAGCCTTCCGCCCAGGGACCCTTCTCGGAAACCCAGGCCCGACGGTTCTCCAGCCTGGCGGAGCCTTTCTCGAAGCGATCTTCCTCCTGGGTCACGGACCTCGTCTCCTGAAAGGAAATCTGATTTCCGGATTCTGAGAAAGTTCGCAACCCCTGGTGACATGTGCAAAAACACGGTCTTGTTTAAGCAACTACATAAAACTGGGTTACAGAAGGGGAGGGGTTGATTGTTTAAACAGACCTTGCTGAGCCCTGTGGGCCATCCGACAAAAAAACCCAGCTTTCGCAAACATCCTTGGTTTCCTGGCTTCGATTCGTAGTCATGGCTGAATTATGCCTTCCAAGAAGGACCCGAATGGAAATGGTCGATGGGGTTCAGCCAAATGCCGCGAAGAAGCAAAGGGCCCAGTACAAACATTCCCCTGGCTTTGCAACGAGGAAGGCCCAATCCCCTCCACAACTCGTCTAATCAACCCAACCTTAAGCCCCTGGGGGCCAACTGGTTTGCTTCGTCGTACATGTGTTGTGCCTTCTGCCTCTTCCCAACGTTGCCGGAGTTGCAACTGAACACTGCAAGCACCTTTGACCCCGGAATGCCGGGACAAACACCTGGATGCCCTAGGCGTAGATTGATGTGTCGCCTCCTCCACGTACGCTTGCAACAGCTGCCCCAGCCTCGGACGATCCCTGGGGATGCTGCGATTCAAAACATCACAATTAGAGGCTATTTTGCACCAAACGAGGGCCAGAACAAGTCGGTTGCAAAACAAGCTGCAGCTCCAGGGAAAACCAAAACAAAATGGGACCCCTTTAAACAGCCTAGTCCACCATACTTCCCTCCTAGCCTCCGTGCGCGGTTCAGCCAAGCATCACCTGCCCAACAAAGTCATCTCCAGTCTCAATGCGGTATCCGGGGGGGCACATCATCGTCAGGAACTCGCTCTTGTCGATGGTCTGAGCAAAAGGACCCCCCCATTTGGATGGTGCTAAACCAAGAAACCTCATCTCAGGGGCACTCCATTTTTACAGAGCCCTCTCGCCTTTTCAGCACTTCCTCTCGCAGCTCTCACATCTCCCCTTGCATTGGCAATCAACATAAGTTATGCTCCAGCCGCCAAAACAAGGGGTTTATGCCCAGAACGTTCGTTCAATGTACCTTGGATGCGGGCCAACTCCCTTGCCCCTTGCCCTTGGGGTTGGCCAGACTTGGAGGTTTTCTGATAGAGGGAACCCAAGGGTTCTTCCTTAAGGGCCAAGGGTTGAGTGAAGGTCTCAGTCTGAGCAGCTCCATCTCCGGAGGAGTCATACTCCTGGAGCAAGCCATCCAGTCCCTCGAAGGCGAACTGTTGCTTCAGCTCCCCGATCTCCACCATACCTCCGACGAGTGAGACGCTGAAGCGTTGAAACGCGTGAACAAATCGCACATCCACCAAAGATGTCTTTGCCAGATTCCCTGAAATCCAAAAGGGACTAGCACTTCAACCAGTCTGGTGCCTTCAATGGTTTGACCTCAGCCGAAGTCCCTCAAATCGGGATTCCGGTCGCTTGGAACTCGCCTCGCTTCTCCAAGTCCATACGCTCAAAGTCCTGCAGGATCTTGTCCTTGCGATAGCCATACGCCAAGGAACATGAAATGGCGGATTTGTCTCGAGTCTCATGGGGGAAAACCAACATGTTTGGGTGGTTTGTGGTTTCGCGTTGGTGTCCCTCCAAAACGACAACCAAGCAGAGAGAGTAGCCTTGATAGAAAGATACACACACACACACATGTGGGGAAATGACATGCTATCCAAGTGCCCGCATGAGCTCCAAAGTACTGAGGAGGAAGCAGAGATACCTACCCAGTGGTTGAGCTCGTTACCCTGAAACACATTTGCAATGTATACACATGGGAAGAAGGGTATTTTGCGGGGGTGCCTTTCAATCAAGGCCTGACCTTTTGCACCGTTTTGGGAGACAAAACTGTGGCATACCTCGAGCAAGAGAACAGCGCTAACGCGGTGCGATCATGTTTTTTTGCCGAAAATGTGGGTTGCAAAGATGTAGTTTTTGTGGGGTCCCGAAACGTCGGCTATGGATCGGGTGTGTGCCCCAGCCCCAAACAAAATTGCCCAAGGGACAACTTTGTACCACACACACACTATGCAAAGGCGGGTAAACATCATTGACATCATGTGCCAGCTGGATCCGCCTGTGGGGCCCCGTTGAATGGAAACAATCCTGCGGCGGTGCATAATGCAGGACGACGACAGCCTTCGAAAGGCGAAGAAATATCCATACACGAAGGGCAAGAGTTGCGGCCGGCTTTTGAATTCAGCTTGTGCTGATGCATGTTTAGGTGCCTCAAAATAGAGGACCGACCCCAAATCGTGATTTTCAGTTTGGCCCCGTAGCGAGCCCAAACCGGCTTTTCGGGTATCTGAACAAAACCAAAAGGGCCCGCTCCCCCAAAGAGTTCCCTGGCCCCATCCCTTTGGAAAAAATGGCCCCACTTAAAGCGAACTCCCACACTTCGCTCCGGGCAACTCTCGAGTCTCCTTCTCCTGCTGCGGCAGTATTGGCGTAGACTTCCAGGCCTGAACAAGCAACTCGCCGCCCGAAACCAGTGGATTTTACCTCCCAAAAAAGTTGCGGCACTCATTTTGGGGGTAGACTTGAAAGGGACACCCCCCCCCTCCTCCAAAAGAAGGCGCCATGGGTGAATTCATTCACGAAGGAAAACCACGTCTCCTTCCACGCAGCGAATTTGGATATGCCATGAGAGCCTCGTGCAAGATGGATTTCGGGGGATCGCTTGAGGTCTTGGGAGCCGTTGCCTTGAGACCTACAAATTAATTTCTTGGTTGAAAGGCGTGATTAGGGGAATCAGCGAAAGGAAATTGAAATCCATCAGTTCAGTCCCGTGATTTCGGGACTTTGAACGGCTCGGCACCCAAAAACCGCCAAATGATGCCAAATGCCTTTGCTCCCTGCCTCTACGGACGCCAGGAACGCCTTGAGGGCTCCGAGGTCCGCGTTCATCTGCTGCTTCTTCGCCTGAAGTTAGCTCAGCGCGGACGCAAAAGTGGTGGTAAAACAAACAAAATAAACAACACCTCCTTCACAGGCACAGGGTAGGGGTAACGGCGCTGTGCAAAATTTGAGCAGGAACCAGTCCCGATTAACCTGCGTTTCCCCCTCACCCTCAATGGTTGGCGGTTGGCAGTTGGCTACGTGTTCCAAAAAATATGATGCCCAAAAGGTTTCACCAATTTCTGGCGGTTGTTTGTCCATTCTTTTCAGGAATCCTGTTCAAAAAGCCGCAAAGCGATTGGAAACCCCTGCTTTTTGTGAGGGACACATTTGGGACACCAAAGGAAGACAGACATTTCGCCTGGAGCTCGTCGTACTGCTGGCACCACCTGCCCGAAGGTCGCAAAGTTGGAAATCCCTGCGGTTGATTTCCCTGAACTGAGTTCAGTTTCCTGACCCATGGGGAACAGGGCTCGTTTCCCCAAAGATTCCGTTTAGGTTCTGAGGGATTCCTTCTGATCCCTTCCGTCGAAGCAAACAAATCCGTCGCATACCCAAAAGCCCTCCTGTCGAACATCCGGAGATGCTTGGGCATGGCCCAGGCGTACAGCAGCCGCAGGAACCGCAAGAACCTGAGCCAACGAAACTCACCCGAAATCCGACCCAAGGGACCCAAGCGACTGGTGGCAAGTCTGGTCGGGCTTCCAAGTGGATGTCCCACCCAGAAACACACACACACAGATATATATATATATATATACATGTAAGAGACAAACATGTGACTCAGAAATCAAATTGGCCTTGCGAGAGGGTGATGTTGAAAGCCGTCACAAAACTAAAATGAAGCTTGTGTGGTAATCACCATGAAACGGGGGGCAACCCAAAGCACAAGAGTTGGACCGAGAATCCCCTGATTTGCGCTGGCTCGCAGCGCCCCACTCCCGAGCTGTCATTGGCAAGCCAGGCAACAGAGCGGACATGGTTTGAAACAACAACAAAACTCCCCCCCCCCCCCCCCCGCAAAAAAAAAAAACTCAAAGAAAGAGACATAACAAATAAAAGCACAAACAAACACAGAACCACCAAAACAAAGAACACGTACAAACAAGTCACACACACCAACACAAACAACAACCACCCCCGTTTGGCACCCCGAGTCACATGGAAATCTTCGGCTCCGAATATCCGAGGCTCCGGCGAGGGCTTGCGGCTCTTGGAGCGGATCTCCTGTTGCTAAAGATCGATCGCTGAACCGAAAGGCACAGCCAAAACTAAAATGTAACTCGTTTCAACATGGCCCATGACCCACACGGTTCAAAAACAATACACTCAACATTGCCAATACGCAGGTATTGTTGAAACCAAAAGTCTGAAGCCGCCTTAAAGGGAAATGCAAAACACATATGCACATGCCCCAGAAGATGATGGCTTTCCTCGCCAGGGGAAATGTGGGTGCGTCTGCTTTTTGAGCTGACAGGGACACCAAACATCGGCGAGTCATCTCGCTAGGCTTGCCTACAACGAAACGGAAAAAAAGAAACCCACGGAAATCCAAGCAGGTTCAAAGGCTGCCTAACA